CTCTAACAGGCTCTTGCTGGACCATATTCAAAGGCACCTACATCCCAAGTCACTCGAAGATTGGAGACCCACTTCACTGGCCTCACCATGTAAACTAGTGGTACCCAGAGTTTCTGCTAAACACCAAGGGCACAGAAGCCATTCTGCCCTCCCACTCTGACCTTACCTACTCCTGTACCTGGTAAATTGACTTTTTGGTTCCTAAATAACAATAGCTATCATTACTGAGTGCAGAGCTAGTAAGCCAAACTTTGACCTCAGAACCTACGAACGTACCATCACTAACTCTATTACACAAGTAAATATACCATACCAACTATTTCACATTACAGCCAACTCAGCAATGCTTAATCATTTGTATATGAAGGGACTTGGGCTTCACTTTCAGTTTGTCCTAAGGACTTTATTGGAATTCATAGCAGTTCCTGGACATCTAGCACCCATAAGACCCCCAAACTTCCTCAGTTCTACATTTCTACATCCTATCCTCACTGTACAGAGGATACATTTTATGAAAGAAATTTTGTTTCCGAGAGAAAGAACTCAACAATTACGTAAATGGAAAATGAAGACAATCAAACTTTTCATGCTTCTGGACAGGTATTAATACTGAAAGATCTCAAATAATTCTCATTACACTTAGAATATGATGAAATTTTCATTATACTTACAATATGATGAAATTTAACCTCTGTATCTGCATTGAGATATTTCAACAGATGATTATTTCATATTTAACTTTGGCACACACATACTCACAAAAAAGGAATAGAAAAGATTTCTTTAGTCAAGAATTTTCAGCAATAAAACCTTCCTAGCTATGGCAGTTTACCTGAGTCCTCCAACAATATTATTTAGGAAGCGAGAAGAGTTTCATTTTTTCGTGGCTTTTGAGGATTTTAGAATAAATCATCCTAATGATTCATGAGCCTGAACTGAAAGAATTCTCTGCTGCTCTGTTCTTTGTAGGATTGCCCTTATCCAAGACATCCAGTTTCAAGAAATTATCTTAGTGGCAAGAAAGCATTCATTCCTAGAACAAATGTTTATTAAGCACCTATAACGTGACAAGAAATGTATTGTGCTAAGAATATAGTAGTGAATAAGACAAAAGAAGAAAAAGGTCCCTGCCTTCAGAGTTTACACACTAGTTTTAGGAGGATACTGACTTCTGCTTCTGTTTTCACATAAACCAATTATCACCACTTCATTAAATGATGACAATATAGCATCTTCCAGATGCCTGGTGATATATGGACAGGAAGTAAATTTATCAATGTACAGCTCAGAATGCTTATCCAACTAAAACTAAAGTGGCACTAAGATCCACAGAAAAGAGAAAATTAAAAGCCCCTTGCACATGAGAAAACAAGGACTCCACACAGGTAGCAGAACTAATTTTAAACTGACACATTAGGAAAACACTTTACAAATCTAGTGACACTCATGCAATGGTGTTATGCCATGGAGAGTAAGAGCAGGATGTAGCACAGATCATTATTTCATGGGCTTGGCTAATCTGCCAAGTAAATCATCCAAGTAATCTGCCCCCTAGCCAGGCAAAGTATAAAGATAAGTTTACACTAAACCAAAGGTATGTGATAGTGAGGTATGTCATACACCTGTCTAGTCACAATAGAATTGTCTAAAAGGAATTTTTCTCAGTGTTAGACTCAGCATTAAAACTATTTTTAAGATTTATCTTTCAATAAACTGTGTTCTTCCATACTACAGAATGTCTAGATTACAGAACACTATGCAGCCATTACAAATAGAGAAGAGATCTACAGTGTGAAAAGAGCTCCAGTACATACTGTTGGAAGAAAAATAAAAAAGAGAGGCAGACTAATACATATAGTATGATACTATTTATGAATTTTTTAGCCTCACAAAACAACATTTTGTTTTTGAATGCAAAGAAAAGAGGTCTAGAAAGACACAAAAACATACAAAAGTGATCATATTTCTGAGAAGATGATAAAGAACTAAGTTCGAGAATTTAACATTTTGTATAATCTTAATATATATAATAAAACTGAGTAGTAAGTTGCATTAAAACTAAGTCAAATTTCTTATAGTATTCATATGTTTCTTTCAAAAGCTTGTTCATTCTCTTTTTTGATCTAAAAAGAATGGAGACTTAACACATAGATTCAAGCAAAACTCTATGGTTTTGATCATCTTGTCCATACTAAAAATCATGGAAAAACCCAACCTAGAGTTAAGCAGAAAAAAATAAACCCCAGAACTGAGAATGTATAAAAGACAAAGGAAGTCTTGCTATATAGAAAATATGGAAAGCATTAAATCAAGCATCCTCATCAACCCCCTTTGAAGACCCCTCTGCCATTGTGTCCACAAAAGGATACAGCATCATTAAAGATAAGACTCAGCATTTCTTTAGCCCCAAGTGCAGGTGTGGCAGGAAACCTAAGAATGAGATAAGTCATCAAAGAGATATGAAGAAGAAGGAGGAGGAAAAAACGAAAGAAAATGAAAAACAAACCAAAACAAAAAGTGTACCAAAGAGAGAAAAAAGAAGTCTGGAACAGAAAGAGCATTAGTGCCTACTAACGTAAGAGTCACATAAGTGCTCCAGCACAAAAGAAATTGGCAGTCTATATTTGTAGAACAATTTACCAAGCATTTCTACATCTATTATGGAATAGAATCTTTGTAACAACACAGTGAGTAGTTATTCCATTTTATAGAAAGAAACTGAAGTTCTGGGAAGGTAAGGGAATTGCCAAAAGCCACATAGCTAATAAGTGACAGAACTGGGGTCTTTGGACTTCAAGCCCACTGTTCTTTCCAATACCCTACTATTGTTATAGACTGTCCCTCAAATTGCTACTAATTTTCAAATAACCATGAAAATTTCAAGAAGCAAATGTATTATCAATACATTTATTGATGGTAAGCTATTTTTCTTTCCTCTAGAAAAGCCAACTATAAAAAAAAAATACCTGATTCGTTCTTTCAAAAACAACAGAATGTGGTAGAGAGCAGTGGACGGGAGGGGAGTTCTGTTAATAAAAGGCAACATGAGGGAGTCTTGTGTGATGGAGCTGTTTGGTGTCTTGAATGTGGTGGTGGATACACAAACCTGCATGTGTGATAAAACTGTATAGAACTTAATACACCCACAAATGAGTATAAGTAAAATTGTGGAAATCTGAAGAAAATCTATAGATTTTATCAATGTCAATACCCTGGTTGTGATATTATGCTATAGTTTTACAAAATGCTACTACTGGAAGAAAGTGGGTAAAGGATACATGAGATTTAGCTGTATTTTTTGTTATAACGGCATGGGAATACACAACTATCTTGACCAAAAAATTCAATCAAAAAATCAACAGAATATTCATATCACCAACACTGATTTTGAAACAGATCAGTGATATTGTATAGAAATATGAGAAGACATAATGCAGTTATTCAAAGCTGACTTCTTTATATTGGAACTGGCAGAGGCATGACCCATGAAATTTGAATTTTAAAAATTATTATTTAAAGCCTGAGATGATAATTTTGAATAGTTTTTGAAGACATAATACCTTAAGAGTGAGACCCAGATCACCCTAGTCATGCAAATGATAAACCACTGATAGAAGGACAAATCAGGAAGATGAAGAACATAGACTTTTTGATTTAGAACAAAGGGCTATTTAAGAATTCCATCTCATGACCAACAGGCACATGAAAAGATGCTCAACATCACTAATTATTAGAGAAATGCAAATCAAAACTGCAATGAGGCACCACCTCACAACGGTCAGAATGGCCATCATTAAAAAGTCTACAAATAACAGATGCTGGAGAGGGTATGGAGAAAAGGGAACCCTCCTACACTGTTGGTGGGAATGTAAGTTGGTGTGGCCACTATAGAAAGCAGTATGGAGGTTCCTTAAAAACTAAAAATAGAGGTGCCATATGATCCAGCAAGCCCGCTCCTAGGCATATATCCAGACAAAACTATAATTCAAAAAGATACATGCATCCCTACTATTCATAGCACTATTCACAATAGCCAAGACATGGAAACAACCTAAATGTCCAGTGACAGATGAATAGATAAAGAAGATGTGGTACATATATACAATGGAATACTACTCAGCCATTAAAAAGAATGAAATAATGTCATTACAGCAACATGGATGGACCTAGAGATTCTCGTACTAAGTGAAGTAAGTCAGAAAGAGAAAGACAAAGACCATGTGATATCACTTATATGTGGAGTATAAAATATGACATAAACGAACTTACCTACGAAAGAGACTCACAGACATAGAGAACAGACTTGTGGTTGCCAAGGGGGTGGTGCAGGATGGATTGGGAGTTTTGTATTAGCAGATGCAAACTATTATGTACAGAATGGATGAACAACAAGGTCTTACTCTATAGCACAGGGAACTATATTCAATATCCTGTGATAAACCATAATGGAAAAGAATATGAAAAAGAATGTATATATGTATAACTGAATCACTTTGCTGTACAGCAGAAATTTACACATTGTAAATCAACTACACTTCAATAAAATAAATTTTAAAAAAAGAATTCCATCTCAAAGCATCAACTGACATAAAACTAGAAGTGTAATCCAACTGCTCTATAAGACAATTTGAGAATTATGATGATAATTATGGGATGTACCAAAAATTGTCCAATAATAACACTATTCATAACAGTATTATTTATCAAGCATATCCTATGTGTCTGGCATTAAGCTGCCTGCTTCACATAAATGATGGAAAATCCTCACAACAACCCTGGGAAGTAAAATATGGATGGATCTAATCTAATTTACGCAAGGTCACATAATTAGAAAGTGGCAGAGCTTGACTTTAAATTCTGACTCTAAAGCTTGTGTGCTATTTGCTGCTCCATAATACATAGGAAAGAAATACCTTATCTTGATAGTCTGGTACATGACTCTAGGGTGAGGGAAAAAATTATATCCAGTAGTATAAACCTATCACTGTTATTATACTAACCTGCTTATAAGTTCCATCTAGCAAGGTGTCCAGGTGTTGGAGAGGAGCAGGTGTTTTATCTTTGAACCTTGTTAATAGCCGGCGTTGAATGGCCCGAAACTGTACAGCTCTTTCAGATAAGAGTTCTTCTAATTTTTCACCATTTATCCGCAACTACAATGAAGAATTTCTTTAATTCAGGTTAAATGTGCACAACAAAACGTGTCTAAAGTAAGGATACTGGCAATGCCAATAAAAGTTTGAAAAGAGTAAAGAAGAAATTTAAGTGTGTTACAGAGTTTAGAGAATTAAAAGTGTGATATTTGATACATGAATACATAGATGATACAGTGAAATAGGTCAAACAGAAATTTAGTAAAAATGGCCCAGTTTTCATTGGGGTAAAGATAGATCATTCAATAAATGTTTGTGATAACTGATTAAATACATAAGGGAAAAAAGGAACAAGGATTTTTCCCCCAGTCTTTACAACAAAATCAATTGCAGAGGAATCAAAAGTTTAAACACAGCAAAGCATTAGAAAATTATATTTTTAAAAATAATCTTAGCATGAGACAGATCTTTATAAGTCAAAAGTCAAAAGCCACACATACACACACACACACCCCTGATAAATTACTAACTAAAAAATTTTTTTTAATTCTACGTGGTTGAGAAAAAAAGTAGAGAAAAACATTATAACTAAAGTGATAAGACAAACAGCAAACTGTAAAAAATAATAGCAATAACCACAGAGACAAAAAAACCATGCCTATAATATCTAGAAAGCATCTACAAATTGATGAAAAAGGACCACAACCCAAACAAATGAGTAAGAAAAAGAGCAACAATCCAATAGAAAAGTGGGCAAAATTCACAGAAAAGTTAATACAAATAGCTCTCAAACATACAGCGTTTGACCTGGCAATCCCACTTCCAGAAATTTATCCTAGGGGTGAGCTTGCAAAAAGTAATGTACACACAAGGATATTCATTATAGGATTTTTTCTGTTGCTATTATAGTAAGATAATGTTAATAATCAAAATACTCATCAATAGAGGAACAGGTTGAATAAATAAAGAGGACTTGGCAGGACCACCAGGTACTGATAAGCAATGCTAGCCAAAGATGCATTGAATGAAACAAAGCAAAAATGAAATACAGAATATCATTCATGTATTTTTTTTAATCTATATAGTAACATAGTTGTGACTGCATAGAATAGTTCTAGAAAGGTAACAAGAAACTGTACACCAATAATTGCCTCCAAAGAGGAGACTGAATAGTGGGAGGATGAGAATCAGAAACGACTCTTTTCAGTATAACTCTTCTCATAACTTTTGAATTTAATATAATTAAAATAAAGAAAGCTAGTCAAAGTCATAGGGAATACTCCATGAACCCAGATCATGTGAACTGCTAATTCAACTTAACAAAAGAGTCATAACTAGTTCTGAAGTAAATATCATATTCAAAATGTTCAGAATTCAAACATATTATAGTTTACATTTCTGATATCAAACCAAACTTCCTTATCTTTTCAGTGCATGTATGGAGAACAGACACATGATTGGAAAAAAAACTTGGAATTTTATTCTTTTAACCCCAGTTTCAGAAGCATTAAGTAGCTAACTAAATCAAAGAATATTCTCTTGAAGGAAAAAAAATAACTTTCATTACCAAAAGTTAAGTGATATAACAACTAAATTTTTAAAAAAGAATATTAGAGTTATCAATAATTCACCCTTTTAATTATATGATTTCCTGCTATAATACTTTATTTCCTCAATTCATGAAACAAAAAATTTTTTAAATATCCTCAAAACTGAGACATCAGCCAGGTTATCATTCCTTTGAACGTGTAACAAAACAGCAGTGATTGAAATGTTTTCACATGTCAGAATTTAACAAATATTTATTGATCTTAGTGCCGTGCAGTGTTCTAGACTCTAGGAATTACAACAATGAATAAAACAGACAAAAATTCCTGTTTTCATGGAGCTTACACTAAGGGACACTTAGATTCCAAAAGCCACCTTGATTCAAAGTTTAAAGTCATATTAAAAAAAAAAAAAAAAAAAAAA